CCATCCGAGGGATCGAGCACCAGATCGATTTCGTTCCTGGTGCTTCAATTCCAAACAAACCAGCGTATCGAACCAACCCGGAGGAAACCAAAGAGCTCCAACGGCAGGTAGAAGAGTTGATGGAGAAGGGCCATGTTCGAGAGAGCATAAGTCCTTGTGCTGTACCCGTCATCCTTGTACCAAAAAAGGATCAGACTTGGCGAATGTGCGTTGATTGTCGGGCCATCAACAACATCACGGTAAGGTATCGACATCCTATTCCTAGATTGGATGATATGTTGGATGAATTGCATGGTTCTAGTGTGTTTTCTAAAATAGATCTTAAATCTGGATACCATCAAATTCGAATGAAAGAAGGCGATGAATGGAAAACGGCCTTTAAGACGAAACATGGGTTATATGAGTGGTTGGTTATGCCTTTCGGTTTAACTAACGCACCTAGCACCTTCATGAGATTAATGAACCATGTTTTGAGAGCTTTTATTGGAAAGTTCGTGGTAGTCTATTTTGATGATATTCTGATTTATTCCAAGAACTTAGATGACCACGTGAATCACCTTAAAGCTGTTTTGGAGGCTCTTCGAAAAGAGCAATTGTATGGTAATCTCAAGAAATGCATGTTTTGCACTGATAGACTTGTGTTTCTGGGATTTGTGGTGAGCTCGAAGGGAATTGAGGTGGATGAGGAAAAGATTGAGGCAATTAAAGCATGGCCCACCCCAACTAATGTGAATGAGGTTCGAAGTTTTCATGGTCTTGCAGGGTTTTATCGACGGTTTGTAAAGGATTTCAGCACCATTGCTGCCCCTTTAACCGCAACAATTAAGAAGAACATGACCTTTCAATGGGGTGAAGCTCAACAGAAAGCTTTCGAGCTTTTGAAATATAAACTAACCCATGCTCCTTTGCTGATGTTGCCTGACTTTTCTAAAACATTCGAGATCGAGTGTGATGCCTCTGGTATAGGCATAGGTGCTGTTTTGATGCAAGAGAAGAGGCCAATCGCTTTCTTTAGCGAAAAGTTGAGTGGGGCTGCCTTGAACTATCCCACGTATGACAAAGAGCTTTATGCTCTTGTTCGAGCTTTAGAAACATGGCAGCACTACCTCTGGCCTAAGGAGTTCGTGATCCACACAGATCATGAATCCTTGAAGTACTTGAAGGCACAACATAAGCTGAAAAAACGACATGCTCGATGGGTAGAGTTCATCGAATCCTTCCCCTACGTGATCCTCTACAAGCAAGGTAAGGAGAATGTGGTTGCGGATGCCCTTTCTCGCAGGTATGCTTTGATTTCATCTCTTGATGCTCGATTCATTGGGTTTGAGCATATCAAAGATTTGTATGCCAGTGACCCTGATTTTGGTGAGATCTATGCGGCTTGTGAGAAGCATGGAGAGGGAAAATATTATCGAGCTGATGGTTATTTGTTTCGCACCAACCAACTATGTGTGCCTTATGCTTCAATTCGTGAGTTGTTGGTCAGAGAGGCTCATGGTGGAGGCCTTATGGCTCATTTTGGGGTATCCAAGACTTTGGATTGTCTCCAGGAACATTTCTACTGGCCACATATGAGGAGTGACGTGGAGAAGGTGTGTGCGCGGTGCCTTAAATGTCGCCAAGCCAAGTCAAAAGTTCAGCCAAACGGGTTATATCTTCCTCTCCCTATCCCTACTGCTCCTTGGATTGATATTTCTATGGATTTCGTCCTTGGATTACCTAGGACTAGGAATGGTAGAGATTCTGTGTTTGTCGTGGTTGATCGATTTTCAAAGATGGCACACTTTATCCCATGTCACAAAACTGATGATGCATCTAGCGTAGCTGAACTGTTCTTTCGAGAAATTGTTAGGTTGCATGGTATGCCTCGTACTATAGTCTCTGATCGTGATGTCAAGTTTTTGAGCTACTTCTGGAAAACTTTATGGAGTAAGCTTGGTACTAAGTTGTTGTTTTCTACTACTTGCCACCCTCAAACGGATGGTCAAACTGAAGTAGTTAATAGGACTTTGTCTCAAATGCGTAGGGCTGTCATTAAGAGTAACATCAATTCTTGGGAAGAATGCTTACCGCATGTAGAGTTTGCATATAATAGGGCTGTTCATGCTACCACTAAGTTTTCACCATTTGAGATTGTGTATGGGTTTAATCCTTTAACCCCATTGGATTTGTCTCCATTACCTGTCAATGAGCGTGTGAATTTAGATGGAGCAAAGAAAGCAGAATTTGTTCGAGGTTTACATGAGAAGGCGCGGCTGAACATAGAGAGACGAACGGAGCAGATTCTGAAGAACGTGAACAAGCATCGACGTCCGCAACGATTCGAGCCAGGAGATTGGGTCTGGGTTCACATGAGGAAGGAACGTTTTCCCCAACAACGACGTTCTAAGTTGCTGCCTCGTGGCGATGGTCCCTTTCAAGTCCTCACCCGCATCAATGACAATGCTTACAAGATTGATCTGCCGAGCGAGTATGGTGTTAGTGCTACGTTCAATGTTGCTGACTTAGCTCCTTTCCTTGATGATGACTTAGATTTGAGGGCAAATCCTTTTCAAGTGGAGGGGGATGATGAGGACATCAACACCAAGGAGATCACAAGTCCAACTTTGGTGCAAGAGGAACGTGGTCCAATCACTAGAAGTCAAGCCAAGGCATTCAAAGGTCGACTTCAAGCTTATTTGCCAGAGCATTTTTCATCTTTGGAGTCGAATTCGTTCATGGGCCAGGAGGTCAATGTCATCCACGTCCAAGATGAGAAAGAAGGACATTCTTGATGCCCAAGTTGGCCACATATGGAAAGGCAAAGGAAAGGGGAGAAAGAAGGACATTCTTGATGCCCAAGTTGGCCAAACATGGAAAGGCAAAGGAATGAGGAGAAAGAAGGACATTCTTTATGCCCAAGTTGGCCAAACATGGAAAGGGAATAATTAGTGGCTAAGAATCTTCCATTAGCATTAAAAACAATATGTTAGAATCTTTTGGATATTTGTTTCCTTCTTTAACTCCTATTAGTTTCCTTCTTAATTTTGTAACCTCTATAAATAGAGGATGTTATGCCTACGGGCAAGGAACCTTTTATCAATGAAAAACCCTTATTTGAGATTTCATTCTTGAAACTCTTTTATCCTTCTTAGTCCGTTCGTGGAATCGAGCCGTCTAGAAGAAACCGACGTTATCAACTAGCTCATCACCCTAGTTGTGGAGTCACTTCGTATACTTGGCCCTCTACCCAATTGTGGCTTTGGTTTGAGTTATTTTCCGCCCCTTTTGCTCTTTGTTTTGCTAATCGATCTTTGCTGCGTATTCTGATTGTTTAAGTCCAGGAGTTAGAGCCTCGACTTATATCAAATTGTCTTTCCCAAACAAAAGTAAAAAGCCAAGTGAAAATAATAAAGCTAAAACTTGCTACCGACTCAAAACTCGTCAACACCAGGTTCAACTCGCTTTGACCAGGTTGAACCAAGTTATGAGCAAATTCACACCCGACACAAACCGCAAATTACAAAAACAGATAAAGCGCATTCCCGTCGAGAACTTGCAAACGCCGGGTTCAAGTCGTTTTGGTCGGCTCAAATTAGGTTGGATACCCATGTATTTGGGCTCAATTGTCATTCTCAACCAAAAGGAAAAAGATAAAAAAAAAAATACTAAAGTGGATAAAACTTGCTCACGACCCCAAACTCTCAACACTGGGTTCAACTCAATTTAACCGTGTCAACCCGGTTTTAACAAATTCACAATTTATCTAAACTGTCAACTACAAAAGCGGATAAAACTCGCTCTCGATAACAATGGGGCAGAGTTCAATTGTCATTCTCCACGAAAAGGAAAATGAGAAATAGAAAAACATTAAAGTGTACAAAACTCGTTTTCGGTCTAAAACTTGTGAACAACGTGTTCAACTCGCTTTGACTTAATTTTTTAACAAATTAACACTTTGTCCAACCTGCCAACTACAAAAGCGGATAAAACTCGCTCACAATACAACACTCGTCAATACCTTAGATTAATTTAGGTTCAATTCTCTTCCCAACCAAAAGAAGGAAAAAAAAGAGAAATTTATAAATACTAAAGTCGGTTTCAAGTCTCTTTGATTGGATCGCCAACATTGAGCAGATCTGGTATGGATAGCGGCATTGGGAGACGGTGGAGGGGACAACTTAGGATTCCGCTGACAGTTTTTTGAAAAGGTTGTGAATTGGTGAGTGATGTTAAGAATTGAATATCATATCTAGTATGGATCTTTGGTCGCGGCCATGGCAAACGGTGGAAGCAGACAACTCAGAATTCCACCGATAGTGTTTCGAGCAAGGTTGCGAAATAGTGCGAAAAAGCGATGATTTGGGTTCAAGTTAGGATACCCATGTGTTTGGGTTCAAATGTGATCATGCTCAACAAAAATGAAAAAGAGAAAGAAAAAAACACTAAGGAGGATGAAACTCGGTCTCGATACAAAACTCGTTGTAACAACCTTGGGAAACGGTGGTGGGAACAACTTACAATTCCGCCGACAGTATTTCGAAAAATATTGTGAATTGGTGAGCGAAGGCAAGGATTGGACAAGATATATTTGCTATGGATCTTCGCTCGCGGACATGGGAAAGGGTGGAAGAGGACAATTCAGGATTCCGCCGACAGTGTTTTGAGATGGGTAGTGAAATGGAGGGCAAATGCGATGATTTGTGCAAAAAGCTATAAACGAAAACCTAGTCGATAATAGTTGCAACAAAGAAACCATTGGATAATAGTTGAAAACTTAGTAGACAATAATTGTTATGAGAAACACAATGAATAGTAGATCTAAACCTAGCAAACAATAGTTAAACACAAAGGTTGTAAAATGGAGAGTGAGGTAAAAGAAGCAACTTGAAATTTCCCCACTTGCAAGGAGGAGTGTGAGAATCACTAATGAATAGTAACTTACAACTTAAGCTTTTATATATTAATTAATTAATTAATAATTAATAGCTAGGCATAGTTGTAGAACCATAGCGTCTCTACGAAGAATTCTTTGCAAGTAGGAGTACATAGAGGTATAGTTGAAGCTCTAAAGAATCTGTAGGACTAAATTAAAGCAGCATAAATTCCATAGGGTATCAAGCACTCTGTTGTGCGAATTTAACTACTATTTTCCACATAGTGGGTACACATTGAGGCAGATAATTAACGACAAACCAAATTCTCCGTTTCGTTACAGCTACTAATTAAGAAAGGCCTACCTTCCAAATTCGAACAAGAAGCATCACCTTTTCAGGGCTCGAGTGGCTGTAATCATGGTAGCGAAAGTTGTTATAAATGAAATGAGCCAACCATCTTGAAGTTACATAGCATACTGTAGCCAAGACTGCAAGCTTAGTTCTCGCAGCAGCTGACAGCATCCCTTGCGTAGTGGCTGCAACAATGCCGATTAATCCAACGGAAACGACCTTAATGATCGTTTCAGTAGCATTCAAAGCCTTGTATGCACCATTGCAACTGCTACAGTTAACCACATGGGTCCAGTACCTGAAAGTAAGAAATATATCACGGCTGAGATAATTAATGTGTTCAAATTAAATGGGAAAGAAGAAAAGAAGAAGCTAAACCCTAGTTTCTCGATCGATCGAGTACCTGTCCATGAGTTGTTCTCTTGGTGGGGTTGGAGGAAGATCATCAGTGTACTTGCCTCTCCAGTCAATTTTGCCATCGCCATATTTGCTGAACCAATTTCTGAAACCAATCACTAGAGCATCGGACTTGATCGGCAAAAAACATGCCTTCTGCCAATTCTTAGGCCCCATTTCCTTGATTTTGCGTTCCTGTTGGCCAATTCTTTGTGCTCGGTCAATACTTTACAAATTGAAATACTAGCCCACACGAGTGTTGTATTTTTTTTAATAGGGATTTTCACAGGTTAAATGCTTAAATGTTCACTAAACTGTGGTGTTGAGCGGAAGTTTGACTGGAATAAATTTGATATAAAAGCTAAGTGAATTAAAATCACTATGAACACTATGTATACCTACACCCTACCACTATATGGTATATCTTATAAAAAAAATTGCACTATAATCCACAAAGTGTTGTAAATTTTTTATATATTTATGGAGAAAATGTTTCGGACCAATTATATTAATTTTTAGTTTCTACCAACATCTATATTTTTTGTTTTCTCTCAAATTTATTAAAGTGAATGCAATTTCGTAAAGCATAATTAATTTGTATGAAATTTTTATAAGATGTAGTCTGTTAAATTTTAAGATGGAGTGAATGTTTGAGTAGTAAAAATTTTTGATTGGTTATTTTAGTAATAATTATGTCAAAATATAATCCATGAGATATGAATTTAGTAACCATGTAGTCATTTACCAAAGTTGAGAAGGTCACCTCGACATGAAGAAGATACAAGTCGGAATCCAAGATTATGTTTGTTGCCATGTGAGCCATCCATCTAGGTAAAACTTTGTCCACCCAAATATCGAAGTTCCTTGGGAAGGCCCAAATGTATCTACTATTGCCTGGACTCACAGGAACGCTCATGAAGATCAAAGCCGCCTTCCGCGGCACAGATTCCTGGAGTACAACACCAAAGACCACACGGTGGATTCTCAAATAGTTGTCATACCAAATTCCCAATTCAGTTGTAGTGCTCACAATGTTTTGCGTTGTTGGATCTGGGGTTGTTGTCGAGTCGAATAGATGTGGTGACATTTTTATACATCAAATATTTTTTAACTATTAAATGATTGTGTAACATCCATCCGTAACTTGATGGACGTTATGAGCACGTTCTCACATACGCTAAATGAACATAACATCAAAATTGCCCAATTCTAGTTGACCGCTACAGTAGTATAGGAGGTGCAATTTTATTAACTTGCCTTATTGTTTCCGGCAGGTGTTGTAATACGATAAGAGAGGAAGCAGGGTGCCTTGAACTGAATGTAGCCGAACCCATCTGCATCAAATCCTTCTATCCCTTGTGTCTTCACTATAAAATCAAGTGGTCTTCCCCCTTCTCTATCGCGCATTTCTGAGCCCAAACAATAGAAAGAAAGACTTTCGGCTTGAATTCCTTGAAATTAGAAAGGAACTAAAAGCATGTAATTAGTACGATGAAGTGGCCGTGAGAAACCAGGATTTACCCTTAAATGGTTGTGTTGATCCGAGCTTGAAATGCGCATAGGGAAGATGGGCAGGGTCCATGAGGTTTTCTATCAATACCTCATACCTACATATGAACGCAAGAAGAGAAAATCTTGATTCAAAATTCAGATTTATTAATTTTTTTCAATACCATGTTTGCCCTTTTGGAGATTTTTCACCTTCTCTCTTGCTTGATCTAATAATTAGTATTGACTTGAAAACTTTTTCAAATATAAGTTTAAGGACGGGACCCCTGTTTGAACGACAATAACCATGGATTACCATTTGGTATCAATGTGAATCCTAGCGTATTAAGTATTTATTTCTTTCTTCAATACTAAGTATTTATTTCTTTCTTCAATACTACTATTTTCTTACTATATGCAGCAAGATCTTCTAATCAGATTATTTATATGAGAAAAAACACAGACCTACACATGCTCTTTACACATCTTCTGCCCTGAGAGATCCTATTCCTAGATAGAATGTTCTACACTCGGGTTTTATAGCTCAACTGATGTCAGTGTTCGTGTGAGTTTCTCTTATTATTTGTTTATTTATTTTTATACACGTCTATGCATAATTGTCTAACTTAACTACCTGAAAGCTAAAATCTCATAAATTTGAATTTATGATAATAATTAGAGCTAATACCACTAGAAAATCTTAATTTGTGTCATATCTAATGTGTCCCAACTTATTACAGTTTTGTGTCATTTTACGTTATAACAATTTTGTTTACCATTATAGATAATGGTTGCCCAGCTTTTTGGGCTCAGCTTTTTGGAGTTGGAGATGGGAATCGCCTTCGCTATGTTGCACCTGCGCTAGTTGATGGGGAGCTGATAATCCCTCGATCTCTTCGTGAGGAGGGAGCAGTTCGGTGGCGGAACGCTTTGGTTGGTCAGTTTCTCTCCGAAGCTCCTCCGATTGCAACGATTCGCCGCTGGGCTCAACGTTATTGGGGAAGAGATGGTCGAGTTTTTGTGTCGGTTTTTGGTATGAATATGTTTCTATTCCAATTTGAGTGTGTGGAGACGAGTACCTGGGTTTTTGAGAATGGTCCTTGGCACTGCGAGAATGTGCCGCTCTTCCTGAGCAAGTGGGTTCCAGGCATTCAGTCGATTAAGCTGGGTTGCTCTAGATTGCCGATTTGGGTGCGAATTAGGGAGCTGCCGTTGGAGTACATGACAGAAGAAGGGCTGAGTAGGGTGGCTAGTATGCTGGGTGCGCCGCTTTGGATGGATCAGTCGACGAAGTTGGGGACTCACATGGGGACTGCTAAGCTCTGTATTGAGATGGCTGTTGATTCCTCATTCCCAACGGAGCTTCGGATTCGGCCTGAAGGGGAAGCTAGTATCACTCTGTTTGTTCACTATCTACATGCTCCCCATCGATGTGAGAAGTGTGCTGAATTTGGGCATAAAATTGGAGAGGGGGTTAAGTGTTGGGAGGTTGTAGTTGCGAGTGTGGCGATTGGTCCAGTTTCTGGAGAGGTGGAGATTCCTGCTGCTGCTGAAGGTTTGTTGATTGGTGGGTCTGGTTCTCCGATAATAGTTGAGGGGTCAGGCTCTGTGGCAATAGATGGGGGGTGTGCTGCTAATGATACTTCGCTGGTTGGGACACTAGTCGTGGGTGCAGCATCTAATACTCCTGCAGGTTAGGGGTGGCAGTCGGTCGGTTTCGGTTTAACCGAAAACCGAAAACCCGGTTATCGGTTAAACCGAGCCACCCCTATAGCTGCCGACCACCGACCGAAGAAAGTTCACGGTTAGCCGACCAACCGACCGGCCAGTTCCGGTTTTAGGCTCGGTTAGCCGGCCAACCGAAATAAATACAATTTCCAAAAAAAAAAAAAAAAATTTAAATAAAACAGGAAAAATTCCCCACCACTCCTTCCTTATCTCCTCCTCCTCTCTCTTTCCTTCTTCTTCTCTCACCTTTCTCCATGGACCACACCAGACCTCTTCTCTCTCATTCCTTCTTCTTCTCTCACCTTTCTCCATGGAAGGAGATCTGCAGGGGCGGCGGCGAGATGCGGCGAGGGGCGGCGCCGGGGAGGAGGAGGGCGGCGAGGGGGATTCTTCACCGCGAGCGCGCCGTTGGTTCCGTGGCGGGGCGACGAGCTGCTGGTGTTGGCGGCGCCGCGGCGGGGACGACGAGCTGCTGCTGGATTGCGACGATGTGGAGGCGGCGAGGTTGAGGGGGAAGGGGAAGGGGAATGTCGACTGCGAGGGTGGAGGGAGGAAGGGGAAGGGGAAGGTCGAGGGTGGAGGGAGGAAGGGGAAGAAAGGGAAGGCTGTGCAAGTGAATCGTCCTGTGCAGAGTAGTGGAATGCGTATTCCTGATTCTGCGGTACGTGCTCGAGTGCCTCTGAATGAGAAGGGTTATAATTTAGTTGTTCCTCTATCTCCCAAGAAAAAGGGAGGTAGGAAGAAGAAGATATGAAGCTGCTTGTTTGGAATCTTAGAGGATTCAATTCCTCAGAGAAGCATAGGTACGTGAATAAAAGAGTTGCACAGTTAGGAGTAGATTTCTTTGCTATTCTTGAATCTCGAGTTTTGAAGGGTAATGCTGATGAAATAGTTAGTAGACAGTTTAGTAGTTGGAGGCATCTTAATAATTACAAGTATTCTTATAATGGTAGAGTTTGGCTGTTTTGGAAACCTGCTTTGTCAGTGGTTGAGATTGGTATGGGTCAGCATTTCATTCAAGTGAGGGTGCAGTCTGGGGAAGAGTCTTGTGTGGTTACTGTGGTTTATGGCCCAAACAAAACAGCAGAGAGGGTTGAGCTGTATGAAGAATTAAGAAGACATGTAATAACTCAGGAGCCTGGTATCTTTCTTGGAGATTTTAACGCAATCATTGGGGTTTCTGAATCTTCAAATAGTCCTCCCCAGAGTCAAAGCATGGATGATTTTGTTAGGTGGATCACAAATATGAAGTTAACTGATCATAAAACTATTGGGACTTGGTACACATGGTGGAACAAGCAATCTGTCAATCCTATTGCTAGAAGGATTGATCGAGCCCTGGTTAATGAAGAGTGGTTTGGGGTTTTCAAGGATAGTCTTGTTAAAACATTGCCTCCTGGTGTCTAAGACCATTGTGGTCTGTTTGTTCACACGGATCCATTGACTTCCTCTTTGCCAAAGCCGTTCAAAATTTTCACATTCTGGAGACAGCATCCTCAGTATCAGAGCTTGCTGGAGGAAGCGTGACAAACTGAAGTTAGGGGTGTCCCATATTTCCAATTGTATCAGAAGCTGAAGGCATTAAAGTTGAAGCTTAAGGGTTTGAATAGATCTCAATATTCTGAGATTTCTGCACGGGTTAAGGAAGCTGGGCTAAGCTTGAGGCTGCAGCAGGATGTGTTAGCTGTTCCATCTACTCATCTTTCTAATGAAGTACTGGATCAAGAAAGGGTTTGCAGAGATTTGCAGAAGGCTGAAGAGCAGTTTTACAGGCAGAAATCGAGAGTTAGAAGAATTATTGAGGGAGGCTCTAATACTAAATATTTTCACAGTATGGTTAAAGTTAGAAATCATAGACATACTATTCAAAAGCTGGTTACAGAGGAGGGGATTGTGCTCACTGAGGTGAAGGCTATGGGTCAGCTAGCTGTTGATTTCTATAAAGGTTTGTTAGGTAAAGCAGACCCTCTGGTTCAGGACACTCCACTGTCCTTCTTAGAGGATATACTTTGCCACAAACTTGGAGAGGGTGATGCTCACATATTAACATCCCCTATTACAAGAGAGGAAATTAAATCAGTTTTTATGGCTATGGGAAATGATAAGGCTCCAGGACCAGATGGATACACAGGTGAGTTTTTTAAAATGGACTGGAATGTGGTTTGAAAGTCTGTTGAAGACATTGTCTTGGATTTCTTTAAGACTGGAATCATGCCTCGGCAGGTAAACTCTACTATTTTAACACTGATTCCCAAGCTTGAAGTGGTGGATAGAATGCAAAACTTTAGGCCAATATCATGTTGTAATGTTGTTTACAAGGGAATCTCGCAGCTGTTAGCAAACAGGCTTTCCTTAGTGTTACCTAAACTCATTGGAGCTAGCCAGTCTGCTTTTGTTAGAGGTAGACTTATTAGTGACAACATACTTATGGCAACAGAATTGGTTAAAGATTATCATAGGGCCTCTATTTCTTCTAGATGTGTTTTGAAGATTGATCTGATGAAGGCATTTGATTCTGTGGATTGGAAATTCCTGTTGAAGGTTATGGTGGCTATGAATATCCCAATGAGTTTTATTAAGTTGATTGAAGCTTGTGTCAAAACTCCTATGCTGAGTGTGGCTTTCAATGGGGGACTTTGTGGTTATTTCTCAGCAGGTAAAGGGTTAAGGCAAGGGGATCCTCTTTCCCCCTACCTATTTACTATTGCCATGGATGTCTTTTCTTGTATGTTAGCTAGGGATGTTTCTCTAAATCTTATCCCTTATCATGTTTCTAGGTTGAGATGCAATTTGGCCAAGTGCCAATTGTTCTGTGCAGGGATCTCAAAGGAAGAGCAGAAATGGATTTCAGATCTTACAGGGTTCCCCTTGGGAGAACTGTCAGTGAAATACCTTGGAGTTCCTCTTCTTTCTGGTAGATTGTCAGCTCAGGATTGCAGCATCTTGGTGAGTAGAATAACTAAGAGGATTACCACTTGGCAAGCCAAAACTCTTAGCTATGCTGGGAGAATTCAGTTGATTTCTTCTGTTATCACTAGTGTGTTTCAGTACTGGATGGCTGTCTTCCTATTACCAATGAGAGTTTTGAAGTCAATTGAAGAGGTGTGCAACAAGTTCCTGTAGGGAGTTGGCTTGAATGGGAGGAAGAAAGCACCTGTGTCTTGGTCTAAAGTTGCTATGCTCAAAGCAGAAGGGGGATTAGGGATCAGGGACTTCAAGACATGGAATAAGGCCTGTGTTTTAAGGCACTTGTGGAATTTGCTTGCTGAGGCAGGTTCTTTGTGGGTTGCCTGGGTCCAGAAGTATAGGGTTAAAGGGCGTGACATATGGGGGATTCCTGCGAGCTCAGCCAGTTCATGGGTATGGAAGAAAGTATATTTCTAGCCAACACGCACAATCAATCTCATTAGTGAATTAATTTCTCCTCCACCTCCTTTTTCTTCGTTTCCCTGCTGTCAATCTCCGGCCGGCGAACATGACGGCGTTGATCGGATTTCCGAGCTGCCTCTTGCTCACCCTTTCCTTCTTCTTCCTCCTCAACGCTTTCATCGTCGCAACAGCTGCTGAGATCTTCACCGTCGGAGACGAGAACGGATGGACGATGCAGGTCAACTACGGCGCCTGGACCGACAAGCACAGCTTCACCGTCGGCGACATTCTCGGTACCTTAATTCATATTAATAATTAAATATTAATAATTTTATTAAATTATTAATATGATAAATTATATAGACAAAATAAGTGCAATGATGAGGTGGAAAGAAAAAAAAAATTTAATTTCCACGTCATCTAGTTAACAGTCAAACTTTATAGTTGACTGCCACGTAGGACAAACTTAACGGAGTGTAACGGCCGGTGACCAACCGTGAAATGATTCGTAAAGTTAGTGACGAATAAGAAAGAAAAGTAATTCAGGTGGCAAACGTGAAAGATTTGTATAATTTGAGTGACCAAACGTGTAATTTAGCCTTTTCAATTACTTACTGGTATAGGTTTATTGGAGTGTAAAACGTTGATATTTTGAGAGGGAGGTTGCGAGTTGCACCTCCCCGGGCTTCAATACAATTTTGATTAACCATAAAAAAAAAAAAGGTTGCCCAGACGATGATCAACTTGACATTGACTTTTGGCTGACGTGGCAAAAACGTGACTGCCACGTAGATGCACGTCACTGACACCTCATATTTTTATTAAAACTAAATAAAAATAAAAAATAAACATAATAATAGGGCGACCAAGCCGGAACATCGACAATTTCGATGAAATTCCCGATCTCCGACTTCACTTCCTTCGTCGCCGTAAACCCCCAAGCCACAAGCCCAATCTTCTCTTCCTATTTAGATGATAATGATGAGGCTGCTGCTGTTGAAAAGGGAATTCAGGATTGGGATTGGTGGTTGCTGTGGTAGTTGTCGTGGGAGGGTTTTGGTGGTAGACCGGGATCCCGCGAATCATCCTCAAGAAACCCAGCTCCTGGCTCAGCAATTGCTGGCTGTGGTGCTGATTGGGTAGTGGTGGTTTGGGTTTTAGTACGCCGCATGCTGCTGGTTGTGGTAGAAACTTGAAGGGTAGTGATGCAGGTGGTGGTGGAATTAGAGAGGCGGGGATTGGAGAGAGAGGGGTCGAAGTTGGTGGTGGTGGGGTTTCTGGAGGATGGTCCATGAAACTGTATCGTACCGGCGGTTCAATCATGAAATATAAATATTGGAGGCTAAATCGGTAGGCGGTATTTAACGGACTAACGATTGAACTACGATTAAACCACGATTTTATCATAAAATATCATACCACTGACTTATCCCGTACGATTTCATATGGACCATGTTCTTGAGTCGAGGGCTCGCTTCCAGAACCCACCCAAATCAGCGGCGTGTTCGTCGGATACCTCCCTCCCTCCCTAGTCCCTACATAAATCTCTCCACGGCCAAACAACCACCAAAACACGATTTTTCAATACCCAAATGTGATCTCAATTTCCCCCTAAATTCTCAATCCAAAACCCTAGATTTCTGAGTTGTTCTTTCCTTCGCTAACCGGAGAGGGTTGCTGTGGTACTTAAACTATGTTTGTACACCTTTCAATACTTTGTTATCTCTTTCGTGTATAATGCATTTTATGAAAAGCTTAACTTGTATACATAAGCTAATTTTGGAATTGAACACTAAATATTTTATAAATGATGGTTATTCATTGCGTAAGTAATATATGTTTCTAAGTATGGGTGGAAATCGGTACGGTATCGGTATCCCAATCCCAAATACCAAAATCCCGAATACCAAATTACACTCTAAAGTCAATCCCAATCCCAATCCTTAAATAATTTCGGTATCCCAATCCCAATCCCTAAATATACCGGTATCCCAATCGGTATTTCGGTATCTCAATCGGTATTATCGAATACAAAATTAATTACCTTTACAATTAATAATTAAATATATAAACTCTAAACTCTTTCTTTCTTTGTCTTTCCCCTGGTTTTTTAAACTCTAAACTCTTTCCTTAATTAATGAATTTTACCTTTATAAAAAAATGTGATAGTGATACAATTGGAATCTTGATATAGCCGACAATTTTTATTTCTTTTTCGGGCCGGTTAAATATCAACGAAAACAGAGCATCAGAATTATTCCCTTCTTTTCATTTTGTGTTTGATTGAGTTTATATATATTAAATATATTACCTTAGGAAATCCCTTTATATGATGAATCTTCCAATGTTTTCCGTTTAAATCTAGAGAAAATTAACTTTACCCGTAAGGAAGATCACGGCTCCCCATCACCGTAGTGAATGAAGGATCATCCAACTCTGGGAAGTAAGGAGGTTTCTCCTTCGCAATGATGTCTTTGTACTGAGGATCCGAGTTGGGCCAAAACCACACCATGTCATGATGCACAATTGTTGGGTAAGCTGCAACACATGCCCTTTTGCTTGTCTGAACCTGCAATTTTCGTTCAAATGAACTCATCCGAACATTGATTGAGATCCGCTGTTCACGAAGAGAAAGTATGTATGATCGAAGCAAGCAAACTAACTACTTACCGGAGGACCATCGGCAGGGGCTTGAGGGATGAGCTTGCAGTTTCCCGAGCCATCAAAACACCAACCGTGATAAACGCATTGCAGCCTTCCCGCTGGATCAATCCTCCCTTCGGACAGCGGAGCCAAACGGTGCGGACACATATCGTCGAACACCTTCCATGCGTTCTCGTTCCTGTCCCACCACACCACCACATCCATCCCCAGCACCATCAGAGCACGCGGGACCTTCTTGTCCAAATCGCACACCGGCATCAGCGGGTACCACTGGGAGTACCAGTCGAACTTCTCCGATCTTTCGGAGGCCAGGGCAGTGCCCTCAGCTGCTTCAAGCGGTACATGGTGATCCGCCGAAACAGGGGAAGAGAAGAGCTTGAATTTTGAGGGTGCCCTGCTGTGAAGTAATGGGAGGAGAACAGGACCAAATTTTGAAAAATTGGGTTTGCGCAGTTGGGCATGAATGAGCGACTTTGGGGAGTGAAGAGACGGGAGAGGTGAAGAAAGTGGGAAAGCTTTCATGGCTGCTCTACTCTGCTTGCTATTGTGGTCCTCCTTTTGGCATGGAGAGATTTAAGTTATAAAGAGGAAGGGAAAGGTACTGCTTGTCAGCGGTATCGTTTTCGTTTCGTAGGTTCCAGTATTTAAGTGGCACACAATTATTGCATACCTTCGTTTTAACAGCCGAAATAATATTATGATGACGTGATTTATTTTATTTTATTTTATTTATAATACTTCAAAACATATTAAATAAATGTCATTTTACGCAATATTTGTTTAAATTTGATATTTGATAAAATGGGTGAGAGATTAATAAAATTTGTTGCCGTCTGGAAATGACCTGTGTCAATTGTCCCAAAATTGATAGTGTTCTTCTTGTTCCTCTGCAAACCTCGCCGTTAAATTGTGCTCAGCCAACAGGTGCTGGCCAGCAATTTCAGGATAAATGAAAACAATCTCAGCCGGTTGTTTCTCTTCTTATTTTCTACATGATGCTATTGTTGCTATGTGTTTGTTTGTGGAAGATCCTAGCGCCATTATTGCTATGTGTTTGTTTGTGTAATATCCTAGCCGGCTGGACATTATTTTTATTAAAATATCTTTAACAATTGATGATAATTAAATACATTAAATAATAGCAGTAAACAAAACTTGAAGCATCTTTCCCCTAAAAAAACTTGAGATCATAAAATCACATCACGTCCTTCTTTCTACTAAACTAATAATGAATTAAATTCATCATATACCGGAAGTCATTTGGTTGTCATATTTTGGGTTGGATCCGGTCCTTAAACCTCACTAGCTTATTACCCGGCCCGTTGACCGGATTATTGTATGTTACCCACTTGCGGAATGGGAGAGAAAGCAAGTGAGAGTGAAGAGATTGGGATTCCACTTGATTAGGACCGACCCACTAATCCAATTCTTCCCGACCCGCCCCAACCTACAGGGTCAGAAAGAGTCAATAAGAAAATACGAACGGGGAGGATTAGTCATATATCTTGACTCTTCAGAAGTGGGTCAAACAGGATCAAGGGCGGGTGAGGGCAATTTTTAGCGCTAAGCAGAGTTCTGGGTTGAATACCTTTACTTAGGCCTAGAAATTGGTTCTGATGCAGACTGCAGTTTTTATTATACCATCATCAATCATCATTGAATTAGTCCTGGGCATCCCTCCCCATTGTCGATCTGAATTCTAATGATGGCTTCATTCCTTGCACCAGCCATATCAGCGAGTTGCCATCTCGAGCATGATTTGCCTATGTACAAATAATACAATTAGAGTATGAAAATGAATTCAATGAAAAGGAAAAGAGAATTCTATCACATGCCAATAAATACACACATAATAGTTGAAGCTAAGTGAAATTCATTACTCGCACATCAATTCTCAAAAATTACAGACTAAACATTGGCTAGAATGGCACTGAAACTACCAAGAATCATGGACGAAACAACTTGTCAAATTAAATAATCCTTATACTGAAACTACCTTCTAACTTGAAATAAGACATGATCACAGTTCATAGCTCTCTTCTCACTATGAATTGGTTGCAGCTAGAGGTGGCAATTGGATCGGATTCGTGGATCCGTGGATCGGATTCGTGGATCAATGGATCAAATGGATTGGATCCAATGGATTGGTGGATTCATGGATTGGATCCAATGGATTGGTGGATTGATCCATGAATCCAAATAACATCCAAGGCTTGGACCAAAATGTAAATTTTGAAAAGTTTAGGTACTAAAATGTCATAATGAAAATTTTTAGGTACCAAAATGTAATTTTCCAATGATATTTTTCGTATAAAAATATAAATTTTAGGTACCAAAATGTAAAATATAAAAAATATAGGTACCAAATCGTAATTTTCCATTTGGATCCGTGGATTGATCTTTGAATCCACCAATCCAATTGGATTTGGATCAAATGGATTGGATTTAAATGGATTGGATTAGGTGGATAATTTGGTGGATGGATTGGATTGGATTCATGGATTTGGATCCTAATTGCCACCTCTAGTTGCAGCTCGTCCTTATCACAGCCTCTCAAGCTCAATTCAAACAGAATAGAGACCGTTATGTAAGATAACCATATTCTTACTGATCATAATTCCTTTCTTCACTCCATTTTTGTTGGAGAAAAGAGTTATCCCCTCTCCTGCATTTCCCTTTCCCCCTCTCTTCTCCCTCTTCTTCACAAACCGATCCCTAAACCAGCAACAACAACACAAAAATAGCCTTCGCCTCTCCCGTCTCCATCTATTGAACGCGTTGGTGGCAAGACAGGACTGCAAAAGCAAAATTTTCTAAAATCAAACTAAATTTTTTGAAGCAGACTCAACCACGAAAAAAGAGTAAAGCAACAATGTAGTAGAACCCTAAATTTAACTACAATCACTTCAAAAAAGACTTTCATTAGTGACGAAATTTAGCGACGCAAGCTAAAATTCGTCGCTAACAATGACTTTTACTGACAAAATTTTCTTCCATCTGCAATGTTTCGTCAAATAGTCATTTATTTGTGACAAAGGCTAATCTCGTCGGTAAAGACAAAAATCCTCGTTACTAAAGTCATTATTTGGAGGCAAATTTTGGCGCCATCATTTTTTCCGACGAATAAAATATTGGCGTCGGTAATGTTTTAATTTTCCAAGTAAATGCGTACTTGTGATAAAAATATATAGCATGACGGTAAAGAAAAAAACATCATTGAATCCATTTTTGCAAGAAAAATTGGTGTCAATCATTATTTGTGATGGCTGAAATTATGTTGCCAATAATATTTATTCCAATATTTTTTATAATTGAGATGATCCTACTTACCCTGGTTAAAAATAGAATATGCTTCATTACACCTTTATTTGAAAAATGAAATAGTTTGGAAAAGCTCAGACTCTACGAACTCAAAAAAAAAAAAAAATGCTAGGGATGTAAATTGAAAGCAATTTTTTCGAAAGAAATAAACAATGAGGAGGCTGGCAATCATTATTATTTCAATAAAATATGTTCTCAGTTTTCTTGCAAAATAATAAATTAATCATAAAGAAGAAGCAATGTAAATTTAATAATTTATACGGGAAGGGATCAGGTCAGTAACCTTATGGTGAGTAATCATGAGTAACCCATCTACATCAGCATGACATCAGTATTCTCTCTCTCATGGAAAGCTATTAATTTTTCCCTCTTTAATCTTTGGCGGACGATTTCTCGCTCATTTTAAGTCAAAATTTAATTTTTTTTGCACAGTTAGATCAGATTAATTGTGCTCTTCAAAATGATATCCACTTTAATATATTTTTCGAACAAAAAAAATTGAGCCATTTTTTACCAGCCTATACCATATGGTATTGACTGGTATTGAAATAAAAGCATACCTATGTTTTGAAAAACATACCATGGTGGTATGAACAAACCAATACTGTAGGATGGTTGAATACATGATAGTAGAAGTATATTAATTGTAATTTACGACTTTTAACATTGTATACCACACAATACCACCCCGTACCAGGGTGGTATTGTATGGTATTGTGTGGCATTTTTTGGTCCTGTAATTTGTTCACCCAGAAATTTGTAGATCCAATAGATCATGATGAACTCGTCCCTTCTGTGCAAACGTTTTCAAAAACGAATTAAAAACGAAGAAGATGCCATACAATACCACCCCGTACCAGGGTGGTATTGTATGGTATTGTGTGGTATTTTTTGCTCCTGTAATTTGTTCACCCAGAAATTTGTAGATCCAGTAGATCATGATGAACTCATCCCTGCTGTGCAAACGTTTTCAAAAACGAATTAAAAACGAAGAAGATACCATATGGTATGCAGTTGGTACCGAGAGGCCAGAATTTTTTTTTCCTAAAAAAATATTGAAAATTGATCTCATTTTGTAGATCACGGTGAACTCGTTCCATCTGTGCAAAAAAAATTAAAATCCGAGTTAAAACGAAAAAGATATGAGTCAATTAAGAAAGCTAGTGAAAATAAAAATAGCCTTTAATTCTCCATCCTTAGATCTGGATTTTCTAAATGAAGGGTCCAGATTTGGTTATTGATGGGTGCATAACCCATGGTTATGCACCCTATCTTGAGCCTAATTTATACCCCTGTATACGGGAATGGATCAGGTGAGTAACCTTATGGTGAGTAACCATGAGTAACCCGTCCACATCAGCATGACATCAGCATCCTCTCTCTCATTGAAAGCCTTTAATTTTTCCCTCTTTAATCTTTTACGGACGATTTCTCGCTCATTTTAAGTCGAAATTTAATTTTTTTTGCACAGTTAGATCAGATTAATTGTGCTCTTCAAAATGATATCCACTTTAATATATTTTCGAACAAAAAAAATTGAGCCATTTTTTACCAGCCTATACCATATGGTATTGACTGGTATTGAAATAAAATCATACCTATGTTTTGAAAAACGTACCATGGTGGTATGAACAAACCAATACTGTAGGATGGTTGAATACATGATAGTAGAAGTATATTAATTGTAATTTACGACTTTTAACATTGTATACCACACAATACCACCCCGTACCAGGGTGGTATTGTATGGTATTGTGTGCTATTTTTTGGTCCTGTAATTTGTTCACCCAGAAATTTGTAGATCCAATAGATCATGATGAACTCGTCCCTTCTGTGCAAACGTTTTCAAAAACGAATTAAAAACGAAGAAGATACCATACAATACCACCCCGTACCAGGGTGGTATTGTATGGTATTGTGTGATATTTTTTGGTCCTGTAATTTGTTCACCAAGAAATTTGTAGATCCAGTAGATCATGATGAACTCATCCCTGCTGTGCAAACGTTTTCAAAAACGAATTAAAAACGAAGAAGATACCATATGGTATGCAGTTGGTACCGAGAGGCCAGAATTTTTTTTCCTAAAAAAATATTGAAAATTGATCTCATTTTGTAGAGCACAGTGAACTCGTTCCATCTGTGCAAAAAAAATTAAAATCCGAGTTAAAACGAAAAAGATGAGTCAATTAAGAAAGCTAGTGAAAATAAAAATAGTCTTTAATTCTCCATCCTTAGATCTGGATTTTCTAAATGAAGGGTCCAGATTTGGTTATTGATAGGTGCATAACCCATGGTTATGCACCCTATCTTGAGCCCCTGTATACTAAAAAACGTTTTAGGTTATAGGAAACTTATTGAATACTAATTAAAAGTTTTCTTAATTTGTAATTTGTTTCCATGATCCATTCCGGTGGTTTCTTTTCAATTGATTATTCTCGTCCCGGTGGTATCAACTATCAAGGCAAGAATAGGGAAAATGGTTATAAAATAAAAATAAAAAGATAGGGAAAATGAAAAAATTAACTCAATCTTAGCCATCCAATTAATAGATATAGATCCTCACCGTTTGTTTAACAGTTTTCTAATGCAAACCCTAGTTCCTCCGCATTTTTACCCATGACATTCCCCCGCCTCTTTCTATTTCTCTTGCCAAAACAGAAGTGGGAGATTGACTGTCGTTCCTTCCTCCTTCATGCTTCTTCTTTTCCTCTTTTGCAGACATGGTGCCAATGATAGTGTGTAAAGATCGAGCACTTGTGGATGCAATCGTCGGTCTTCTCTCCTGTCTCTATACATCATTGTTCCTCGTCCCCCCACTCGCTTCTCGATTTTCCATAGGAAGATGAAATTGCCGCTTTCGCCGCTTTCATCCTCACACATGAGATATGTTCCTTGTGAAGCGACGGTAACAAATCAGATCCGTTATGTATTTGGATCTATGGTATTTTCGATTTTTAACTCTCTTTTTTCTTGACTTGGGCTTCAGGCGGTGATTTGAATCAGACAGTGGCGACAAGATTGAGTAATTGGTGAAGGTTACGGGAAGGCTAAAGCAGGGATCGTAGGGCGTAGTTTGTTGTATTTTACTTTTTACCATTATTGAGTACATTTTTGTCTTTTCTTCTTCCTCAATGTATATAAATTTTTCCGTAGCTCTATGTATATACCTTTAATAAAAAGTGTATATTGTTAAGGATGTATGATGATATATGATCGACTATGTACTGAAAATGATGCTCTACAAAGAAAAGAATAAGTGAGCTATGAATTGATAGCGCTGATGAATAAAGTTATATCATTTTATATGTTTTATTTGGTTTCATAAATGTCATTTTTTCATTGAATTGGTTTCATAAAATATGAATACAATTTCTCATATTAAAATTATAAAAAAATACATTATTGGTTAAATTGTATTAGCGGCGCCCAATTCTGTCATGAATATAGCAAAATGTCGTTAGAAATGCAACATGGTCGTCAGATTCATCAATATGTGGAAAACCTTTACCGACGATGCATTAACTATAGGAACGACCTAGTACCGTCACAAATAATATTTTCCGACGGCTTGTCACACAAAAACTATTTGTGACGCTCGTATTTGGAACGGACCGCGACGGATGCATGGCGTCGCAAAAGCGCTATTGTAGTTCTAGCTAGTTGTGCTTCATGCTACACTCGTGTATATATACATACATTCACAAGCATAATACAATACACAATTCGCTCATGGTATCAGAGCAAACTGCTTAACAGCCTCATACGATCCCACTACTCTCCTTTCCCACTTCAACTACTTAATTACTCTTAGACAGCCTGCATCTCGGAGCTCTTGCAGGCGCTATATACCTACTCTTTACTCCATCTCCTATTCCATCTACCCTCACAATCACTCATCAATCCAAACCCCACACGTTTCCCCTTTCCCTCTCCATTATTAAACTCTACCATTATTGCATTGATCACCACTTGTAAGGGCCCTTTTTTTTTTCCCCACATCTCAAAATCATCATGAATTCTGCTTCTGATGCCACATCCCAGCTGCTGCCTTCTGCCAACGGTGATGGTCATCTCATCACCATTAACCCAGCATCTCAACTTCCCCTGAAACTCACGTCCGAAAATTTCCCATCATGGAGAGCCCAACTTTTTACACTTCTAATGGGGCTGGACTTGCTGGGATTTCTTGATGGTACCACTCCAGCTCCAGCCAACACAGTCACGGCTAATGGTACCACCTCTCCCAATCCTTCATTTATCCACTGGTTTCGGCAAGATAAACTCCTGCTGCATGCTCTCCTTGCCTCAGTTCACGAGTCAATATTTCCCTATATTGCGGCTGCTTCTACCTCGAAAGATGCCTGGGAAGTTCTTCAAAAAATGTTTGCTAACGCATCTCGATCACGTGTTATGTCCTTAAAAGATCGGCTGTCTCGTGCCCAAAAAGGGGATAGATCTGTTACTACTTTCTTGCAGTCTATAAAATCTATTGCCGCTGAATTGGCCCTCATTCAATCACCGGTTTCTGAAGAGGATATGATTATCCATGCCTTGCGGGGCTTGGGTCCAGAATATCGTGAGTTTGCAGCTGCAGTTCGTGCTCGAGAATCCCCTATCACGTTCGCTAATCTTCATGATCGTCTTATTGAACTCGAAGCTGACCTCCGCACCTATCAGCCCATGCCCTCTATGGATTCTCCCGTGGCTATGGCTTATCTCTCTCACCGTGGCAGCTCACGTTCTCCAAGCTTCCGTCCGAGTCATTTCTCTCGTCCGCAGCGCCCTCCTAGTACAGGTCGTGGTCTTCTTCCTTCACCACCTGCTGGGCCTTCTTTTCCTGTTGCTCGTCGTCCCCGATTCACAGTTGTCTGCCAATACTGTGACAAGACCGGGCATTCGGCAAAAACCTGCTTCAAGCTCAATCCTCGTTCATCTCAAGTCAACTTTACTACTGCTACGGGACCTCCTCGTCCCTCGTCCTCTTCTGAAGTTCCATGGCTTGTTGACTCAGCTGCCACTCATCACGTGACTCCGGATCTTGGCACCCTATCTCTTTACTCCGACTATACTGGGCCTGACGAGGTTTTGGTTGGCGACGGAACAGGTTTGAAAATAACTCATATGGGCTCTACTACTATCCCTACGAGTGCTCTTAGCCTCTCTCTACAGGATGTTCTCTGTGTTCCGGCTTTTCGGAATCGCTTATTATCCGTTGCTAAACTATGCAAAACTAATCCGATCTCAATTGAATTCTTTGCTGATTGTTTCTATGTGAAGGATCTACGCACCGGAGCACGCCTTCTTCGAGGCCGGAATAAAGGAGATGTCTACGAGCTGCCGCGGGCCAACCACAAACTTAAACTTGCTCTTGTTTCCACCCATCCTTCCCTGTCTTCCTGGCACTCCCGCCTCGGTCATCCATCCTCGAAAGTTCTCAATCAACTTGTTCGTCATCTTCCTGTTTCGTCCCAGTCTTCCTTTGACTTCTGTGATGCTTGTCTGTCTAATAAGGCTCATAAACTGCATTTTCCGTTTCTAGTCTCTCTAGTTGTCGGCCTTTTAATTTGTTGTATTCAGATGTTTGGGGACCTTCCCCAGTTGTTTCTCGTGATAACTTTCTTTATTATCTCGTTATTGTTGATCATTTTACTCGTTATTCATGGTTGTTTCCTCTTCGTAGAAAATCTGATGTTCTTTCTATATTTCTTCAATTCAAGAATATGGTTGAAAATTATTTCTCCACATCGATTAAACGTCTTTACACTGACGGTGGTGGCGAGTTTTCTAAACTCAAACCTGAACTTCTTAGTGCAGGTATCTCCCATCTCCTTACTCCTCCTCATACCCCCCAACACAATGGAATAGCCGAGCGCAAACATCGCCATATCGTCGAAACCGGTCTTGCTTTGCTTTCCCAAGCTTCTCTTCCTCTCACATTTTGGACAGATGCCTTCCAAACTGCCGTTTACCTTATCAACCGGTTACCTTCCTCATCTCTTAAAGGCCAAACTCCGTTCTTTTCTTTATTTAATGAACATCCTAATTATAATAAATTGCGTGTCTTTGGTTGTCGTTGCTATCCTCTCCTACGTCCTTATAATGATCATAAACTCCTACCTCGCTCCCGTCCATGTATTTTCGTAGGTTACTCTACTCAACAAAGTGGCTATCGTTGTTTTGATCCCTCCACCAATCGCCTATATATTTCTCGCCATGTATCCTTTGTAGAAAATAGCTTTCTCGGCTTCCCCACCTCTCCCACTCCTTCTACAAATCCACATGGTTGGCTCGCCTCCACTGTCCCTTCATTATCTATTATTTCGTCCTCTCCTACTTTTTCTATGCAGGTCCCTACCCATGCAGCCCATGACTCTCCTTCCTCCCCCTCCTCGGCTGCTCCTGTTGCGTCATCCTCTCCTGTGGACAATAGCGAGAATGCCACTTTATCACCTTCCAAAGCTCCAACAAAGAACCCTCCTCAACGTAGTCATCAAATGGCTACCCGCTCACAGCATGGTATCTTCAAACCTAAGAAGCTTTTTATGACATCTACTACTTTGTCCCAGCCTCAAGAACCTCGTTCAGTTAAGGAGGCTCTTATTGATCCAGCATGGAAAACAGCAATGGAAAAGGAATATGAGGCTCTTATTGGCAATGGGACATGGGAGCTCGTTCCTCTTCCCCCCGGCTCAAATTTAGTTGGTTGTCGTTGGGTATTTCGGATCAAACGTCATCCTGATGGCTCAATTGACCGGTACAAGGCTCGTTTAGTGGCCAAGGGCTTCCATCAGCGCCCTGGCGTCGATTATCATGACACTTATAGTCCAGTTCTCAAGCCTGTCACAGTTCGAACTGTGTTTACCATTGCTCTGTCCCATTCTTGGCCGATTCTTCAATTCGATGTGAATAATGCATTCTTGCAGGGTCCCTTACAGAAGGAGGTGTTTATGGTTCAACCACCGGGTTTTACAAGTACTCATTTTCCCTCTCATGTGTGCCGCCTTAAACAGGCTATTTATGGCTTACGTCAAGCGCCCCGGTCTTGGTATTCCGCTCTATCTGGTTTCTTAGAATCTCATGGGTTTCACAAAACTGTATCGGATGCTTCATTATTTGTTTATTCTCGTGGGAAAGTACTGTGCTACTTTTTGGTATATGTTGATGACCTGCTTTTAACAGGCAATGATTCTAGCTTCATTCGTTCTTTTCAACAAGCATTGGCGACACGTTTCTCTTTGAAGGAGTTAGGCCATGTTAACTTCTTTCTTGGTATTGAGGTGCTTTCCACACCGGCTGGCTATATACTCTCTCAACGTAAATATATTCGAGATCTTCTCCAACGTTTCCACATGCTGGATAGTAATCCATGTTCCACTCCTATGGCCGCTTCAGCTAAGCTTCATCTGGATGATGGATCTACTCCCACAGATGCTACTCTTTATCGCCAGGTCCTCGGCTCTCTTCAGTACCTCACCTACACTCGACCTGATGTTGCCTTCTCTATTAATAAATTGTCGCAGTTTATGCATGCTCCTACAACTACTCATTGGTTATCTGTGAAGCGTCTACTGCGGTATCTGCAAGGAACTTTCCAATATGGGCTTTCCATCTCTCGTTCAGCATCCCCTATGAATCTCCGTGCCTTTTCTGATTCTGACTGGGCTGGAGATCCTATTGACCGTACCTCTACCATGGGCTATCTTGTGTACCTTGGTGACACTCTAATTTCATGGTCCTCCAAGAAGCAACGAACTGTGGCTCGCTCCAGTACTGAAGCTGAGTTTCGTGGCGTGGCTCATGCTACTGCTGAGTTGCAGTGGATTCGTCACTTACTCCAAGAACTTCATCACTCTCCTCCATCACCACCTGTTTTGTTTTGTGACAATATGGGAGCCACCTCTTTCAGTGCTAATCCAGTCTTTCATTCTCGTATGAAGCATCTGGCCCTTGATTACCATTTTGTTCGCCAACTGGTTCAGGACAAGCAGCTCATTGTACGCTACATTCCGACCTCCATTCAGTTAGCCGATGCGCTCACTAAGCCGCTTGCTCCTGCCCGTTTTCTTCTGCTACGATCCAAGATTGGCGTCGTTGAACCCGACTTCATCTTGCGGGGGCGTAATAGGGAAAATTGTCCCTTTCAACTATGATATTCCGTATCTATATCATTAATATAATCTCCATCATATCTTTATTTCATTATTATGTGATTCTCCATATCTTCCCAATATCTTGTATTTATTGTAGTTCTAGCTAGTTGTGCTTCATGCTACACTCGTGTATATATACATACATTCACAAGCATAATACAATACACAATTCGCTCACCAAGCACATATCAGCAAGATTTTCGATTTGTCTGAGAGTTAACTACACGGAGAGAACAATTGATGCATAATTGAAATGCTCCAAGCAAGTTGAAGGCAAACCATAACTTTAGAATTTGGTCATTATAATAACCTTCAAGTATTGATGCTTCTAAGAACTATCATGTCCAACCCCCACTTATACAACTACGTAGCCATAGTAATTAGTTGTATAATGAGAAATATTACGAAGAAAACTACATAAACAACCAATGTAAGTAAATATTAAAACTAACAACTGATAAAACTTAAAATCTCTCTATTGGTATAAATGTATCTATTAGTAACTACTATGCAATCGAGTATATATGATTTTTAGGCACTGAATAAGAAAAGTATAGATGGCTCACAACTGAAGGTAGCACACAAAAACCAAAAATAGAAAAAGAGATAAGAAAAAAGGCGAGAAAAAGTCAAACAAAAAAAAAGCCCACATAGGAATACCTCGCTAGCTTTAGGGACTCTCTGCCACAACAAACAATCTTCTTAAAAATCTAACACCCTGAGACATCAAACAAACCTCCCACGACACTAATGTATGGCATTCCTATTGTCCAATAGGTTTGCCCAATTTAGACTTCTAAATAAATGGACTTTTCACCATTAAACCAAAACTCACAATCATTAACAGTTAATGCAAAGACATACATTTCTGAGGCCAATCACAGCATTTAAGCATAATTTTTAGTTGAAAGAACAATTAAGTATTTAGCTAAATGATATAGTAGAATGGACACAATCTGCTACCTACTAATGATATAAACGTGTACCGGTACCATCGTTGTATCCTGACTTGCCATTTGCAACGGGCACTTTGAAAGACAGCTGCATTTTAGAGAATAAACACCCATAAGGGCGTTACGAAACCAAGCTTAATCCAAAATCTTCATATTCCACTTCGAAGACTCCATTTTCAAAAATAAGAGAGTTTAACATGTCAAATCACTCATTTGAAAAATCTCAAACAACTATTAATCAATGCAATATAATGGCACGTTCCAAATTATGTACTTGTAGGAATAATCCCAAATAATTATCAATTAATGCCCCAACTACCTAATGTGCAGAATAGCCCTGGAGCTGTGCTGTTGTTTGCGTTGGTCTACCTTCAAACATAACATAGTTGCATCACGAACCAAAGCAATTAAGCAAAAATCTTCATATTCCAAGTAGAATGACTCAATTCAATTTGGCCAACGCTTTATACATATTGTTTACCCCTGGACTTGTTGCACTTGCGCCTTCAGATCTTCGTGCACACAATACAATTGCGGAGAGGAGGCTGTCAACGGAATAAAAATTGTTAATTAAGTGAATCACTATACAACTAAACAAACGCGCTCTTCTTGATTAGCTATCAAAATAGTGGGGGTCGCTACAATCCATCGGTTGCGCCCTCTGCGCCTAAGTTGTAGATATTAGGTTTCAGTGAGAACTTTGAGTACATGAGGAGATATTTTGTAGTGGAGGAGATGACCCGGCGAGTAGAATACGAAGATTTGGAGAGGTTGCGATGGGCAAAGCAGTTAAAATCGAGATTTTACCTAAAATCGAAAACTGGGGTAAAATCAAAATCGTATAATCGAATCGTAAAATCGTAGGATTTTAAGTACCATATAGAACATAGCATATAAGAATATTAATAAGGTAAATTATTAATATCACAAAGACACATAGCATTTAAAATGATAATTCAGCAGATTTTTTTTTCATAAGATAATTCTCAAGATTAATGTTCCAAAATCACTATTTTAATTGTTATTTAATGTGTAACTCAAAATAATTCATGATGAAGGGATATAATTCATGGGTTTGGCTCTTATTTTCATGTTATGTCTAGGTTGTTTAACTCAAAGTAATATTTCGACATCGTCTACTAAGTATGATTTAAAACTAAAAATAATTGAACTCCAATAAAATAAGTAATGTTAGTGGCTTGGTACAAATATATTCATTAATAAATTAATTAGTTAATAATGATGTTAGTTCTTACATACTTCCAATATTAGGACAGGTGTTTTACCAATAAGTTAAATGGGGTGAAGGGAAAGAGATTAACCGAACCCTAATTTGGTTATTTTTATTATTTTTGAATATTTTTCTAATAGAAAAATATCTGAGAAGATTCCATTGCCCTTTCCGCTGAAACAGTTATACTTATTTTAAATTGGCTCAAACCACCTATTTTGTTCTCTTACGATCAAAATCCAGATTTCGGTACTATTTTACGATTTTAACGATTTTAGTCCCGATTTTAAACGATTTTAAGGTCCATCGATTTTATAGTAAAATCAAGATCGGAATCCCTAAGTAAAATCCTAAAATCCTACGATTTTACGATCAAAATCCCGAATTTGACTGCATTGGCGATGGGTGCACAATTAGTGGGCCAAATAACAGTTTGGGCCCGTTTAAATGAAAAGATATTTTTACTTTCGTGCTCAACAGACCGACCGCACTGGCATCTTCTAAATTTACCCCTAAAAAATTGCTCTGTATTCATCAAATTTGAAATGCAATCCCTCTTTTCTCTTTTCTCTTTTCTCATTTCACATTTCACATTTCACATTTATATGATGTGTAGATTGTGATGAGTGTAGATGTAGACCTGTCATTGTCCTACAAATTCATTAACACGCCAAAAAGTGGTGAAATGAGCCACCCTACTAAACACAATCTTGTATAATGATCATTGGATCCAATCATGCCAAATTATGAAGAAGTTTAAAATGTAGCGGTTATCCCGACTAAAACATTAAAAGAACCAGTCTCATATAGTTTGCACAAAGATATAATTTCTCCATAGTAATTCTGAAAAATAATATTAATTTAAGATGTCGATATTGCTTCTACATGTTTAATATTGCAATTCGATATGCAATATTCGAACCAGTGATATTTGGGCTGCAATTTTAGGGTTATTGTATATTTATCAAATAGATAGAAATTTAAATTAAGTATTAAACTACAACTAAAATAATCAAAGTATTAAAACACCAAATAAGTACTTACGGGAGATTCAGTGGCCAACTAATCGTTAAAAAAGTCATATGATTTTCATAATTTACGTTCGTGTATGTTTGAATTTAAATAGATACAATAAATATACTTAGTGTGATTGGTTATGATCCTTGCTTGCCTTTAAAGAGACCAAGGTTCAAATCCCAGTGCATGCCATTTTTATGAATAAATAAATAAGAAAATAAGCAATTGTGAAGACCAAAATGTCCTTCCTATAATCACTCTCGCTGCAGGAAAATTGAAATGGAGCAACAGTTTTCATCATTCGGCTTTTATTTATTATCTAGATTGTTTAAGGAGTTTCTTAAACCATTTTTATTTGTTGATACTAGATTAAGTAGTTAATGAGGGGTCAGTAGTTAATGAGGGGTCTGTAGTTAATAGTTAGTTGGAATAAATAAGATATTATGAAAATATAATTAATATTACTCATTAATGATTCTCTTCCTCTCTTCCCCTTGATCTTCTCCATAACCCTCTCTCTCCACTACAACTAAAAGGAAATTCGAAATTAATTTAATTAAATATTATTATTTAATATTTAATAAATTCGAACTTTATATTTTTTATTTTTTAAAATGAAAATTGAAAATTAAAAATATATACTCTCTCTCACTTCGTGGCAACTTGCAATACAATATTAACATTTTGATATGACATTATCAACATTTATGAAATGAATCGTTATTATTATACCTCATCATTACTAATTAACGACTTCAATATACTTATCAACTCCTTACAATTACATTATTAATAATTTTGGATCAATTGTTACTGTTTTATAGTTTCGTCATCAACGCCAATGAATGAATCATTAAAGTTATGTAACATGGTC